AACTGACAAATTTATCAACTCTAAGGTGTTCTGATCTATGAGCTGTTGTTTTCCTATCTGAAGAAAGGTCCTTGCAAGAGGTATGTTCCCAGTACAACGTGGACGAGACTTCATGTAAAAGTTATGTACAGCACCTTGGGATCCTCGATGCAAAAGCCAAAAAAAGAGTAAGAGAAAGGAACACTCTTCCGCTTATTTCTTGGCCAATTGAAAAAGATGTAAAAGCGCTTACCAACAAGTAGCTGAAAATGTATTGATCGATCGAGTTCTCACCCACGCACGCGGGAACCTTAGTGTCAGAGATCCTGGAGAAGACGAGGAATCTCCCTATTCATGAGAAGACGACACAAGCTCAGAGTCCAGTGATTCTGATGACTCCTCAAATGACTCTTCAACATACGTCGAAGAGTCATTTGAAGTGATGTTTGTACCGGAGGAAGAACTCCATCAAGTAAACTAAATATGAGGGAATCAATGAGAGGAGACTTTTTTAAAGGGGCGGGGGTTAGCCTTAATATTATCATTATGTGGGNGGGGGGGTTGAAATTAATTTTTGCTTAATGAGAGGCTCAGGGTAAATTGTGAAATAGGCATATCAGACATTTAGCGGATTTTATCAAACGGAGCTACCAAGTTATGGATTGTTGACTCCTTCTGATCACAATTGGTTCAGGCGGAGTTAAGGGGAGAAAAAAAAAAAAAGATTTAAAAGACACTACAAAAATATCAATTGACCCCAAGACTTTAATCGGGACTTTTATCTTGCAATCAATACTGTTTGGCTTGTTTGTGCTAGCAAAAACTCCATGCGTCATTTAAGGACGTTCGAAGAAAATCTATCAACTAGAAGTTTGAATTTTTTGCAAAATCCACCATCGAATTCCGTTCTTTTTAGCTCTTCGTTTATCTGTGCGACGATTTCCAATGCTTTCAAATGCTCTTGAAGGGTTAAGTTTCGTGAAAAGGTTGGTTAAATTTGGAATTATTTACGCAACAGACCCACTTCTACAAAATATGACTAAGATCGTTTACCTCCGTTGACTCGCCCTCGATATATTTAACTATAAACCCATGCTGGATTACGTGCGCCAATTTTTCAAAATGAGGGAAGTTTTGCATACGCTTTATCTCTGAAACGGAGTCCGTGAGCCCGAATTTTTTTTGCATTTCTGACATAGGTAACTCATTATCTGACTGAAATAAAAATTTAAAAAAACTCTATCGACTGGAAAGTTTTTCCGGGAACGTCCTTCATACATTACTTGCATTTGAAAAGAAGATTATCCGGGACCTCCCAGATGAACAGTCACATTAATTTTAATTTATTCAACTTTTGATATCACCTCTTCATGAAGAGAGAGTGAATGTACGGTTGATGTTAAAAATGAATATGGCCTTGGTTAAACCTATCAAGTCGACGTTTTCAGCTTTGAGGGTTTCTGCATACTGCCGTACTTGTTGGACGTCCATTAGTTCGAGACTTCACGGACATGGTGCGGAGACGATTACATCGCAAGAAAGTTGCTTTGAAACGATGACCGACAACACGCGGACGTTGAACGTCGAAGTAAGTCAGCAATTTGTTTTATTTAAGGTCTTCTTGAGAAGTTAATCAGTCTCTATTGTGTTTTATGTAGCTGGTCTGATTAGTTTCCCTGTTGCTCAACTTTTAAAAATATCTACGCAAAGGAATATTAGGTTTAGGTAATGTAGTTAACGGCAATTTCGAGATAATTTACATAAAGTGAATTAATTTTTTTAGAGGCCCGCTCTCTCACGTCTAGTTCTGTGTTGGCATTTATTGTCCTTGTTATGTAAATTCGCAGTGCTAACTGTAGATGTGTGCAATGTTGTTTGCCATATGACAGTCGAAATTCCAGGAAATTGCTAAAACTGGTACAAAATTATATATTGTAGGGCTTAGACCTACCCGTATATTAATAATAATAATAATAATAATAATAATAATAA